AGTGTGTGGTTGGGGGACGCACCTTTCGAGCCATGCCTGTGGCTGTCCCCACTATAGGGAAGTGCCCGCCCTTCCCATGGCCTTCCTGTGCACATACCGCTCCTCTGCCAAGAGTGCCATCCTTCCCACCCTGCTCGGAGTGCTCAGCCCTGCATCTTTCCAAAGACCAGTTTCCATACAGCCCCTCCCTATAAAGACAGCCTGAAATCCCCCCCAGCTCAGCCCCTTCCTTCCTGTGCTCCATTCCCACGAGTGCTACAGACACGCAGGGTGTGCCTTTCCCTCCCATCCTGGGGTCTAGAATGGCACTGTGCTTACACCAGGCACTGGTGAAGGCTTGATGAATGAATGGGTGAGTGGTGAGAAGACAGGGAGAAGAATAAGCTCGTAAAGTTAGCATACTGAAAAGCTTAGAAATGCATGTTGACAGACAAGCATATTTATCTAAAGCCATATGACTGTGCCAAGCAAAGATGACAACTCACTCAAGTGTTAGGCTTCCATTTGCTATTTACTTTTCCCTTTATAGAAATAGTTTTAAAACTGGGCAACTCCTAGTGAATATTTAAACAAAATACACTCAATTTTGATGTTGTCTTTTGTTGAGTGCTTTGTGGTAACTTTCAGAATACAAATAAGGAGTCACTTTTGTTCTCTTAAGGAGAATGCTTCAATGTTTCATTAAATGATATTAAGATATTGCAAGCTAAGAATTTGCCAAAATGATCTAGTTATGACTAGAAATAAATATGCAGTTTATGTCAAAATGCTATCAAACTGTAGGCTACTTGTAACAAAGGGTTATTACTTAAGCAACAGGATTTTTCCTTTAAGCTCATATATATACAAGTACTATCACTTATACAGTTCTCAAAAAGAATGTTTAACCTAGTGATATTTAACTCAGAATGTTCAGCTGCAGTGTATTCACCTTGTTATTATTTATTCTTAAATGTTAATTTGTATCCTTCTGTTTTATACTTTCATATCCTGCTTCAGACCCAGGCGAAAGGAAGAATGTTAGTGAGATTAGTCAGATCTTCCACTCCCAAATCACAGCCCCGTTACCGTGGCTCTATAACCCCCGCACTTTGGGAAGCTAAGGTAGCAGGATTGCTTATGAGACCTGTCTCTACAAAATATAGAAAAACCAGCCAGTGTGGTGGTGTCCACCCGTAGTCCCAGCTACTTGGGAGGCAGAGGCAGGAGAATCACTTGAGTCCAATCCAGAAGTTTGAGGCTGCAGTGAGCTATGATGATGCCATTGTACTCTAGCCTATGTGACAGAGTAAAACCCTGTTTCAGAAATAAACAAATAAAACCAAAACCAAAAATCAGCTGGCAGAGCCTTAGGGCGGCAAAAAACAACGACAACTACAACAACAACAAAAACCCCCCAAATAAAAACAAACAAACAAACAAAAAAACACCCCACAAAACAAATAAAAATAAAAGACTACCACAGGCCAGGTGTTGTGGCTCATGCCTGTAATCTTAGCACTCTGGGAGGTTAAGGATAGACAATGGCTTGAGTTCAGGAGTTGGAGGCCAGCCTGAGCAAGGGTGACACCCTGTCTCTATCAAAAATACCAAAAAATTAGCTGGGTGTTGTGGTACACCTCTGTAGTCCCTGCTACTCTGGACTGAAGTAGGAGGATGGCTTAAGCCTGGGAGTTTGAGGTTGCTGTGAGCTGTGCTGGCGCCAGGGCACTCTAGCCAGGGGAATAGAGTGAAACTGTTTCTCAACAACAGAAAACATGATGGTTAGAAACACTGTGCTAAGCTAAAGAAGCCAGACACAGAAGGCCACAGGTTGTGTAATTCTACTTATAAGAGATGTCAGAATAGGCCAGTCTATAGAGACAGAAGCAGACTGGTGATTGCCTCAGGCGGGAAGACGGGGGCAAGGGAAGTGGTAAGTGGCTGCTAATGATGGGGTTTCTGTTTGGAGTGATGAAAATGTTAGAAAATTGTGATGATGACAGCACAACTCTGAGAATATGGGGGATTGCACATTATGTGAATTATATATTAAGAAAATTGTCATTTAAAAAAGTGAAGTTGGGGCGGCACTGTGGCTCAGTGAGTAGGGCACTGGCCCCATATCCCAGGGGTGGCGGGTTTGAACTCAGCCCCGGCCAAACTGCAACAAAAAAAATAGCCCGGCATTGTGATGGGTGCCTGTAGTCCCAGCTACTTGGGAGGCTGAGGCAAGAGAATCACCTAAGCCCAAGAGCTGGAGGTTGCT